TGTTAAACTGCTAATTCTAGAATCTTCCCAATGAATTTATTTGAATAAATCAATATTTAAATAAAGTGATGTCTAGCTGTTTGTAAGACACCACAAACATTTTCTTTCCTAAACGAGAGCAACATACTCGAGCCTTTTGAATGCTGGTCCATGACAGCAGCACCTGTTTGCTGACTGTGCAATGGTAACATGCAATCCGAACATCCAAGTGAAACACATCGACAAGTAATTCTTACTCCACTCTCCTTTCAGCTGGTGCCACAATTTCCATCAGGGCTGAAATTTTCCAGATGTCGTGCAGACCACCCGCCTTTGTGATCGGCGCTGTTCTCAACTGGGTGGGCATCTTTGTGATCGGAACAACCTTCCCCTTCATCGTGGTGAGTCACTGTCCCCGGGACATGGCCCCGCCACTAGGCTCCAGAGTCAGCCACGGGACGGGAAGGAGAGCAGCGGGAGGTGGCAGTGGCACTTTAGAGAGGTCTTGGTGCCTGCTCTCCCAAGACCACTCTTGGAAGTAACAGGCCCAGATTTGCTCAGGAGACTGATTCAAACTTAAATGCTTGTCAAAGGCCAAAATGCAAAGAATCCCTTATCAACTTCAAAGTACCTTGGGACCCAAATACAAAATCTGTCCCAAGAAAGTGACAAGCGAAGAGATTTGCTCATCTTGCTCTTTTTCTTGCTCTGCTCTTCCCTGCAGGAAAGACTCAAGCAATTCTGTTTCCTCATCTTTATGGGGGTACTTTTCACTTCAGGGACAATTGTCCACCTGTTCCTTCCAGAAACAAAAGGGAAGTCAACCGTGGAAATCACAGAAGAATTTAATAAGCTAAACTTTAAGAAGAAGTGTGTTCCAGCAACTCCAAACCATGTCACGGAGGATTACACCTACTGCACCAGGCTTTGACTGCCCAGCAGGAGGAGTCAGGCTTTCTTAAAAGGAAGAAAGAAGACATTCATCATTTTCTGACTAGCAAGCTGGTCCAAATGGGCTGTCAGCTTTCAATCTGTCTCCTACAAGGTTTTCTTCTTGCCAAAATATCACATTTCAAAAGCACTCCGCTCTGGCAGTTTAGAGAAGGGGTGATGGCTGATATTAGCAGGATAGACTTGGGTGACTCAAGAGCATCTTGGCTTAACCTGCTGATGTATAAATCTCTTTTATAACAGAGCAATTAATACACACTGAAAATACATGCAGAATTTATAAGTATGCTGCTGAACACACAAAAAGGGAAGACCAATGATCTTCCGTCTCTCTCTGATTTATGAGTATTCCTGAAATGGGAATAGTAAAGTTCTTGGCTTGCTACCTCTGGCTAGATTTCAGTCCATGACAGATTAAAGAATAAAAATAATGGAATAGGAGAGAAATTCTTTGTTTCTTTAGACTCAATTGAATAATCAAACCTTCCCAGGTTCCCATGCTTAAATGCCATGTTTTTCTTCTGTTGTCAGACTTTCATTCTAGTTTGTTTGTTTGTTTCATTCTTCAATCCTTTTGGAATGAAGTTTTTCATATCAGCAGCCCTCCTTGGCTTGGCTTAACTTTAATATAATTATTTTTGCTTAAAGAAAAAAAAATCAACCGTTTGATTCTAAGCTCAGAATTGTTCATGAAAAAGTATGGGTAAAAATTCGCTATTCAGCTCTTCTCTGGGCTTGTTTCAGTGGCAATACAGCTAACGAAGTCATGGATGGAACCCAGTTGCCAGAAAAGACAGGCACCTGGAGTCATTTCGGCACGCTCTGCTATCTTGTCCATCAGCATCATCACCTCTGAGCTCCCACAGCTACCTTGTGGGCAGTGAATGCCACAACAGTTTAGCTGCTGCTTTCCACAGTTGCTTTGTGTGACTTTTGGCACACAGTTTACCCCAGCAGAACCACCCCAGGCTGGAACTCCTGGCAGTAAAAGAGTATCTGTGGTTTTACAGTTTCTGTTAAAAACAGCTGTAAATACCTTGCTGTATGTACAGCAGGCAGTCAGCAAAAGCTAAGACATCGTCCAGCTTTCGGGAGTGTGCAAGGCTCCTCTCTGGGGTGTATTTCTCTACTGTGACTGGGAAGCGATCACACAGCCTCCTATTTCAGGGACGTGCAATCAGCACAGACTCTTCCGTTATTGTTCTATGCAAGCGCAGATACTGACAGCTGGAGGGATGACTGGAAATGTTATATTCCTTGAATGTTTTGTCAGACTCATACAGCTAGGTAAGTTTTACAGTAACAGTGAGAACTGTAACTCATAACGTGTAAGGCATTCATTTAAGCATTTCCACCAATAATTTATGATTAATGACAGTCTCGTAGGAATTTTGCCAATTTTTTCAAGAAGGCAGTCTGCACAGAGAAAAGGAAACAAAATGACAGAGTATGTTAAATGTATCGTATGCATGTTTTCTAACTTCCAAATTTAGTGTCATATGCCATTCCTAATGATCACTGTTGCAGGAACGGATGCAATGTCAGTTTGATCTATAACCAACATCTGGGCTTGAGTTCACTTACTGCAGGTCTTCAAACTGTGGAAGATGTTCAAGGCCATATGAACTGAGTTCCTAATTCTTCTTCCTTCTGTATATAGTTAAAGATCAAGAGAGTTTGTGAGCCTTATAGGCCACAATCTTATAAAGTACCACAAGGATTAATTTCACAAGAGACATTTTTTGAAATATGCAAGCTCATGGGATTTTCTTTTTTTTTCCAGAAATTGTCTAATTTTCTGCACATTTTCCTCTATTAATGGGAAGCTCACACAATCCTAGTAGCAAAGCAATACTATTAGCAAGAACGTGAAAAAGGCTAAGGTTTACAGTGGTGCAAAATATACCAATTAGAATCTAAACACACTAGCCTTACATAGAGAAAGTGTTTGTATCTCTGATATTGCTTTGAGTGGCATATTTACTTCAACTAAGATGACACTATTCAAAATATGAATTCAATTGTTCATTTTAACTGTTGCTTATTTTTCATTAGAAATGTTAAACATAATAAAAATGGCAGATGAACTTATAATAAGACTTCTGGCCTCCACAAGTGTTTCTTCCACAACATCAGGATGACCCTCAGGAACAGCTGACTAGACAAGTTACAGGCGTACACATCCTTCCATGACTGGGATTTTTCATTACTTCCGTCTTTAATATTGAGTGAAGTTTAAGACCTCTCACTAGAAGATAATCTTTGAAACATAGACAGTCCATAAACTCAGAAAAGCCCCCAGATTTTTGCAGTGTTCTATATATGTAACAATACAATCAAAAACTACCAATCATCTGGAGATGACGTACAATATAGAAAGGAAATCTTTCCTTGTAGGAAGGAAACCTCAACTTTTGCAAAACAGAATTCTCTTTTCCTAACCATTCATTCTGAAGAAAATCCTTCATTCCCTTACCACAATACCTGACTTCTTTGGACATATAAGCAGAGTGGCACCGTGTAGCATTGCTGGAGTGACTCTCTGGTGAGCCACTTCTCTGATCTCAGTTATTCATTAGAGGCTGTTAGGAAAGCCTTCTCCATCAGCTCCGCAGCAGGAAGCGAGCAGATGCCCTATGGAACATTAATGTGACAACGAAGTGGAACAGCTGTTTGGAGCACAGGTCAACATTCGTCTGTGCTCAGTGGAGCAAGAACTGTATTCCGGTAACAGCCTGGTGGAGGGATGAAAAAGCAAAAATGTATGGTTCAAATGCACAGAGCTGGAGTATCTGCAATACTTGATTGCACACAACATAATGGCTAGTTACATTGGCACCCCTGCTCACTCATTTCAGTCTTAGCAATCTAGGCCTTCTTTCATGTTTTTGTGTCAGCAAGAATAAAAGTTGTCAAAAGCCTTCTAACAGTATCCCAGAGTCATCTGAGAAGGACCTACGGCATATCAGTGATACTTCAGAGAACTGTGTGAGGCCCATCCAGAAAGTCAGAGCACTGTCTGTGCTCTGGAAGGTGGCAGGCACAGAGGTCACTGCTGAGAAGCTTGAGGAGCACGACACACACTTCTTTCAGAGACACCAGCTGATAGGTAAGGCACGTCTCAAATACTGCATGTAACTGAGGTGGATATAAACACTTTAAAACTGGATCAGAGAACTGCTATTAGATAGACACACACACACACAAACACACAATTCGGTTAGTTGGACTATATTAAGGAAGGCTTAGGGTAGCTTTGCATACATCTTTCTCGAATGACCAGAAGGTTGCAAGATAAATAACTAAATGGCCTGATGATCTACTGTTCCAATCACAATATGACAAAAGGATATCTGTAAGAACCTAGTTAGCAGTAATTATGAAACTGCACACGTAATGAAGGGGGTGTCAGCACAGCATAAGCTGTACGAGCACCAAAGCAGTACAGTACCTAACCAACGTAAATGCAGAAGTGCATTACAGGAGGAAAACTATTAACCTGCCCAAAGTGGGAATCCTGAAATTAAAGTACAAAAGTAAAGACAAAAAGTCACAGTATGTATAATGCAAAATAAGTAGAAGTAGGGGAAAGAGAACATAAGAAAACTAGTGTAACAGCAGTGTTTGAGAAGGAACGTCCCAGGCTGGCAGCTACCTACCATTGCCTGCTTGTGTCTTCCCCCTGTGCCATCTAAACAAGGCTGGTACTAGATTTAGCATGGCCTGTCTGTCCCTTGGTAGATGCACTGTATGTTGTTTCAACTTTACATGACTTTATGGAAAAAGAAATTAATTCTTAGCATCAAAGGGATGATCTCATTTGTTTTCTAACATGGGCTTCTCTGCTGGAGAAGCCAATCTGGAATAAAAAAAAAAAAAAAAAAAAAAAAAAAACAAAAAACAAAACAAAACAAAACAAAACAAAAAAAAAAAACACGTGAACTCTCAGCTCACAACAAAAACAAAGTCAACTTCTTTATGAGGACCACGCAGAGATGGGATGAATGTCCAGGTGGCACTACGAGCTACATTTCAGGCATTAACCAGAGAATTTGTGAATATTCTTTGCCGGTGATGTATTTTCTATTATGACTACTTGCATCCAACAAGCCTTTTTTGATTTCTTCATCTTCTTTAACTGAAGTGTAAAGGGTAAATGATATCTGAGCCATTTACCAATTTAATACATGCAAAACCCTCTTAACCATTAAATAAATCAAATTAAAGCCTGCAGATGTTCTATCTGAAGTAAGAGACAGCACTCCAACTACAAGACTGATGTTGAATCTTCCTCTCCCAGCAAAGGAAAATCAGCTGCTCCTAAATATTGAGCTGCTCAGGCCTGCTGTGCCGCTGTAGAAGTGTTAAGCTCTTTCCCACTATATGCCAAAGTCCTATATTTCACTGTCAGAGCCACATCTAAAATTCCCAGTAACATTGCCTCTCCATTTCTCAGCTTATACTGAAAAATAAGCAAGTTAAAGCTATTGAAATTCTGATTAAAATCTACGTCTCTGCTCCTGATATAATAAATATTTCAGCCAATGGTTACATCTAGCACAAGATGGAATTCACAAAATGTATGGGTTCCTTGAACGGGAGACCATCTTGGTTACTTGGACTAGACGTAACCATTGGTTGAAATATTTAATCCAGCAATTCTAAACTTTGTACAACAGCTGAAATATGTGTAATTAACTCAAAAACCTTTCAAGTAAACTTTAACTTCAGTAACATGGGACTAGTTCACTGACGTTGCTAATTGCATAATGTGAGCTTTTGCTTCTTTTGGCAGGTACTAGTCAGTAAGCAACAGGAATCAGCTCTTTCATAGGAGATGGCTACCTTCTTCTCTGACCTGGTGAGTAGCTGGTCACTTTTTCTCATGTTCTGGACTTTTAAAGAACAAAATTAACTTAATACTAAATATCTAGATTGCTTAAAGATTGTGAGCTGTTTTGGGAGAGAGGCCATCCTTCTCTTGTGTGTTTAAACATCACCAAGAGGAATGGGGCTTGGGGCCATGAAAAGGTCTTTTCCTTGCCAAAGGATAAAATAAAAACTAGCAGAAGTCTTTACAGTTCCACCACTGACAATGCTATTGTACTTTGCCTTCTGAATTAGTGAAAATAATACTAACTAGTAGGTACTCTTATTATTTTCTGTGGCTATTTCTAAAGTAATGAATGGATTAACCGTTCTCCAAAAGGCTATGAAATACATGACAAGCTTTAAAAGAAATGAGCCTCCTCATTTCATCCACCCAATTACTATCATCCATCAAGAGCTACCATAGTCTGAAACAGGGAAGAAATGATAAAAAGCATTTCTCACTCTAATTTTCAACTGCCATCAAGAAGCTATTTTGCTTGCCTTTGTAAGTACCAAAATTGTCAATTTCTAAGCCTATTACAAAAAATAAATAGGAGGAGGGAGGTGAGATAACTTGCCGATTAGCAAATCCATTGAATCTGAGACAGCACTTTGAAGGAAATTTAGAATCTTCTGGTCCATTAGCTTCTTGGTTCTTGTCATTGATAACCTGGGAAATCCAGCTGTGGGCCAATTAAGTAACAAGGCCTTGAAAGATGGACCTAAGAACCAGAAAAAGGGAAGTTCTTCTACATGCCTTCCAATCCAGCATTAGTCACATGTGCTTTACTTTGTTCCTGTCTGATTGTATTTTCTACCAGCTTCTCATCATCCATGCACTGATCTCCAAAACACTGTGAGCTCCTGAAGCTCGTGTCTGACGTGAAAACAGAACAGAGCACAGTGTCCTCTATGCAGAGATGGTGCCACTGTCTTGGTCTGTGATGTGCTGAATAAAAAAAAGGAAGGGCAACAATAACTCAGGGACCCTGCACAGCTCCTGATGGCGCTAAAATAACAGTTGGCCTAGGTTCGGTCTGCGAGGTACAGCCTAAGCTGTTGGAGGATAACTCCACCAAGATTTGCAGGCGCTTGGAAGCTAGACAGAAGCCCAGTAGTATCACCTACCTCAGAAAGGTCTAAGTAGTTACGTGTTATGCTTTTCCTTATTTACAGGTAAATTATTTCATTCATCAAAGCAGCCAGCCTATCTCAGTCCCTAATTCTTGACCAAGGCAATTATAGACAGAAAGTATCTCCCAAGCCTCAGACACCCAACCCTTCAATACACAAGCATCTACTTTCAGGTTAAATATGTAGAAAAAGGGAAAATATTTAGAAATAAGTGGAATCACAAATCAAAGTCAGGAAGAGTTTCATGTTAGTGCAATTACAGGGGCTATTCCAAATAATTATATTCTCTTTTTAGCCCATGCCTTTCTGAAAGAGGTGAGTATTAAAAGGATCTGTTCTTTATTATACCAGAAGATACAACACAGGCAGAAACAAAAGCAGTGCATTAACGTGAAATTGATTGAGCTTTTTGTTTTCACTTTGCAGGTTCAGTTCCAAGGACTATTTCAAATGATTCTAGTGCTGGGAATTGGTGGTAGTTTCCCATACGGATTCCATATTTCTGTCATCAACTATCCTTCTGTGGTAAGTAGCTGTCTTCCTGAGGCTGAAATCCCCAAATGGAGAGCCTGAGCTCAGAACATTTGATATATTAAAGGTTCAGCTTCTGTTATAAAAGTTTCTTACTTTGATACTTGTGGAGAATTCTAGGTTCAAACTATTAAAATATAGGTCATAACTGGAAGAATATTAGCTAAAACTGTACTGGTCATTCCCCCGAGATATCATACTTTCTGGTGTTTCAGTCTGTCTGGCCTGCCCTACACGTGAGCCCTGCTCCTGTATGCTACTTACTGGCAAAACATGGCCAAATACATGGACATCAAAGTCACAGCTCTACACTTTCACTACTATGACTGATTCCAGGTGTAAATACAAGACATGTCTCATTGCTAGAGCCCTTAAGTGAGAGAGGCATCTTGAATTAACCTCTCTGAATTTGATTTGTGATTTTAGTCCTCCTTCCTCAGCACTTTTTCTTCTGATTTAATTGTAAAAGATGAGCCACTCTGCTAATACACTTCCAAAGCCTTCCTACGATTCCTGAATTTCATCAAATATGAATCTTTAAAACAGGGGGAACAATGCTAAAAGCAAAATTTTTGTCTTTTGAGTTTACTGACTGACACTAATTTGAAGATTTTGCGATGTGATCTCAGCTAACCTATTTTCCCAAGGAAGATAGTCTCAGAAGAAGTCCAGTATTAGAACCAAAGGCTAGAACTGAAGTACAACAGCCAAAGAATATGAAGGAATCTGACACCACCCACTATCCAGTCAAACACCATTTTATTTTTCAGCACATCAGGAAGTTTATTAATGAAACCTGGATAGAGCGCCATGGCTCTCCCCTCCATCCTGAGACAATCATGCTGCTGTGGTCCTTCATTGTGTCTGTTTATGGGATAGGAGGGTTCCTGGGGAGCCTCTGCTGTGGCTACCTGACTACAAAATACAGAAAGTAAGTGTTTCTTGCTCAATAATCAGAGTACATGAAGTATAGAGGAGTATCAAATTGAACGAGTAAACCTTTTCTTCTTGCTTAAAGCAGCTTGATTGCAGACTAACCTGATTTTCTGTGCCAGCACATCCATCAGTCCCAAACTCTCTTTCCCTATGGCTGGAGAAAGGATTCCTCCCCAGTCTGGTTTGTTCTCAGTGCCTGTGTGTAACACCACTAATTTCATTTGCAGAGAAATTGGCAAACTTATCTGCTTGGTGTGACCCACTTAAAGATCTGCTCCACAACCCACTGGTCCAGAGGCCCCTCATATGGGTCTCAACAAACCATCTTAGCCTGCCTGCAATTGTGTTCTTTCCTATCAGGTAAGTGCCCCCAAGAAATTTCTTGTGGGACACTGCCTCATCCCACACTCTGAGGGTCTCTCCCAAGACTGAAAACAAAATCACAGTTCTTCTCCCATGGGTAGTTCAGCACGTGATAAGCAATTGCTGAATCAGTGTCTTCTAAAGAGAGGACCTCTCTGAGTTCTTAATGCGTGCAAGAGGACCCTTATCTAGCAAGCATCACAGCAAAACAACTGAGTGCAAAAGACTGATTTCAGCCTGAGACATGGTGGTCATGTCCACAGCAGCCCACAATTTACACAGAGAGTCATGCCTCTGCAGTAATGCTTTCTGCCATCTCCCATCACCTCTGGCCACATCCATTTGGCCAATAGTGCTTTAATACGAGCCATTCGAAAATGGGAGCCATAAACTCAGATTATTTCTGGGGATCAATCTGATGTTTTATGAGGAGTTCCAGTCATTTAAAAACCCTGGTGACAACCTGGGCCAGTTCTTTCATCTCTTTCCCACTTGGACTGTGGAAATGCTGACCAAGTGTTCTGACTGTTTAAAATCTAAGCTAAGAAATATTCACAAAATCAAACACAAAGGATCCCAAAATTTTAAAGAACCACTTTTGCTATTCAAAGTCAAAATCGTTTCAGCCATTCCTCAAAAAAAAAGCAAGAATGGTTGTACCATGCTTCTTGTCACAGCAAAAATAGTCCAAAGAGTACAAGAGATTCTCATTTCACCCTAAATTCTCATGTTTCGGGTTTGTTTGTTTGTTTCAGAAAAAAGTGTCAGATGTTCACCAACCTGATCATGCTGGTAGCTGCACTTCTCATGGCCTTCAGTAAAACAGCCAAGTCCTTTGAGATGATCCTGGCTGGACGCTTTCTCTATGGCGTTGGTACAGGTATGCACTCAAGACCCTGTGGAGGGTCTGTCCCTGTCTTTACTGGTATTGCCATTCTTGGATAATGATTTTAATGTACCCAGAAAATGTAACAGGCCTTTTGGAAGAAATTTTAATTCAAATAACAGAGTGAGTGGAAACAGTGGAAGAGAGGATGGAATCAGAAAGTTTAGCTTTCCTCAGCATTTTAATAGTCATTTATCCTCTTCCATCTTAAAGGTTTTTCTCTCAATATACATCCTCAGTATGTAGGAGAGATTTCACCCAAGAAGCTGCGTGGATTTACGAACTCCACAGTTGCTGTTTTTCTGACACTGGGAAAACTCACGGGACAAGTCGTTGGACTAAGGTAAATTCTCCAATCTTTCTATCTGGGTACACTAAAAGCAGTGGCAATCTTTCTGCATCCCCATGCTCTCACCTAGTCAGTGTCTGAGAAATCTTTCCATCTTCCCCAGAACACGCCTTATCTTATGCCAGAAGAAAAATTTTGATCAAATTTGAGGCAGACATTGCTTTAAATATAGGAGAAAGAATTTCCTGTTTTCTTCTCCCGTCTACTCCCTTTCTACTACGGGGCTTCTTAGAAATGTACTATATTTACATGAAAAGTCTTAGCAAGATGTTTTGGTCCTGTTGTCAAACAATGATCAAATCAGTCTCATCAGCTCTTTAGACGTCATGTTGGATCCTAATGATCTTTAGAAAGTATTTCAAGATGCCAACAGAAATTCTTTAAAATTGACATAAGTAAAATAGCCATGTTTGTGAAATTTGCCAAATCATCCATTCAGGTGTTTGCTCCACTGCACCCTTAGGTGGAATTTGAGCAATCCTCACCACTCAGAAAAAAAGTTCCTGAACATTCATTCCATTATTTCAGCATAATTTTGTTTCACATACACTTTCCAGGGAGATTTTAGGAAGCGAAGCTTTGTGGCCCTGGTTGTTAGCATCTAGTGGACTTTCAGCATTGGTTCAACTGGTTACTCTCCCATTTTTCCCTGATTCACCATCTTACCTCCTGATCCAGAAGGGTAATGAGGAAGCCTTCAGGAAAGGTAGAGTGTCTAATTTGCCACCTCATTCACTTCACTTCACATGTTAGAGTGCCAAGAAGTGTAGAAGTCAAGAAAGCAGGGCAGAGTTGTACAGCGAAGTGCTAGCTTCTAAATGAAACAGTTAAGGTACCTAAAGCAATGCATCTGTGTTAACCTGGAAGCTCACTCACACTAAGTTAATCAGTCAAGAAAAGAAAGATAGATATACAACACCATGACTAGTATGTCTCACTTTGCTGGTAATATTTTTTTGGAGGAAATGGTTCAGGCAGTTCATTCATTACTAAATAAAACTAACCTAGAAGTTTACTTTGTGTACAATTAAGCCAACTCAACAGTTGAAAGATATTCTATAGTGACAACCAGAGAGACGAAACTCTTCCACTCGCCTGCTGGCCTAGCACCAACCAGATGACAGAGGCAGCTAACAAAACCACCACCACCACCCACACCAACGGCGAGGCAGACTGAAGGATTTCATGTACTCAGTCACGATGAGCTGTTCCAGTAGCATAATGCCCTCCCCTCTCTCTCCCCAACAGCCATTAGGAAGCTCTGGGGGGAAGGAGACCATCAAGCAGAAATTGATGACATTATGAAGGAGAAGGCTGCAGTGACGAGCACCAAAACCCTGCGCGTCCTCGAAGTCATAAAAGAGCGGTCTCTGCGCTGGCAGCTTTACATCCTGGTGACCGTCATGACCACCCTGCAGCTCTGTGGAATCAATGCAGTTGAGTGCTCTCTGTCCCTAGAACAAGAGCCTCTAGGCAGCATTGCAAAACCTTCCGAGCTGCTGTTTGTTCCACCAGCTTAGAATGAGAGGCTCAGTAAAATTTACATTGGGCGTGACCTTTGGAGGTGGTCTTTTTTTCACAATTTCCTCTGCCTTTTTTCAGATTTACTTCTATTCTTTCGAAGTGTTCCATACAGCCAAGTTTGAAGAGTACCTTATCCCATACGTGTCCCTGGGCGTTGGGTTGTGCGAATGCTTATCTTCTATCTTGTGTGTAAGTCTTTTCAGACTGGAGTTTGAAGGAAAAATTTAATGTGGTCAAACAATTGTACTTTTCCTTTCTTATAACTGGGCTCGGGGAAGATTTGCACAACCTAAAACAAATCTTCCTGCTTCTATAAACCATATGCAGGACGAAAGGCAGGTATTTTCCCACAGTATTTGCATGACTGGATGGCTTTAGACTCATTTTTATTCTGATAAAATACTTTTTCATTCTGTTACAAACAACTCCTCCAGTAACTGCTATGTGAGAAGACAAGCAGATCCAAAGAGCTGGGGGCACCGCTCCAAGGGAACGGGAAGCCTAGATGAGCTGCATCAGCTGATGGTCAGGAATTAGATGTGTATATGTGTGCATGCACAATTTGACATATACCAGCATGCAAGAAAGGGAAGTGTCTAAAGACAGCCAAAGGAAGACTAATAAATACAGCTTTGAAGCTAAGAAAATTTGCCAGGAGTTAAGAGTCTCTTGGATGGCACAGATTTCTGACCAAATTATTCAGATAAGGCTTATGAGAGCACAGGGCAAAGGCAAGAACTTTTTCATTTGACACGTTTTCTCTTTTTCAGAGCACCCTTATAGAGCGATTTGGGAGGAAGGTGCTGCTGTGGGGAGGATACACGCTGATGTGCTCGGTGCTAGCACTCCTCACCATGACCCTGTCACTGCAGGTAACGAGGCAGCAGCCTTCTGGCTGCTCACCCAGCACCAGCCCCCTTCCTGGTTCATGTACAAAAACTCAAGTCAGTGGCAGAAAATAGAGAGTTCTGCTCTTCTGTCGTGTATCTAACAGCTTGGTATCGCTGTTTTTTCACCTTTAGCATCAGTTCTTCTGGCTGCACTACTTCAGTGTTATCTTGATCTTCCTCTTTGTTTTCTTCTATGGAATCGGACCATGTGAGTACAAGAGGAAATTTTTGTATCATGTTGGCTGGCAGCACAGCTGGCAGAGGAAGAACAGAGCAGTCCCATGATAAAATTTGAGAAAATAAGGAGGAAAAGGCAGATAGATAGGTGTAAGTGGGGAGAAGGCCTTTCAGCCTCATAGCAGAAGCCACCGGGCAGCAGGCCACCTCTGCTGCCTGTCTGTCATATCCTACCACTGCCACCATAAGGATCTTTGGCAGGAGCAAGGTGTGCTGTGGAACTAAGGAAACAAGAATACCTTGTCCATGTTTTGCTTTTCTTTTTCAGCTGGAGCCACTGTATCTATCATGGTTGAAATCTTCAGCCAGTCATACAGACCGTCAGCCTTTCTGATTGTTGGCTGCATCAACTGGATGGGGCTGTTTGTACTTGGGATGATTTTTCCATTGATTGTTGTAAGTGACTCTGACTGGATCCCTCCCTTCAGGCTAATCTCCTTCCGAAAGCTGACAGGGAGCTAAATAATAGCAATAAATTGCAAAGACATGCAAGCTTAGAGCTCTGTCCGAACACCAGGCCTGCTCAAGGGTACCCCAGAGATGCAGCAGTTGGACTCAGATCAGACATGGCCAGTGGAAATTCTTGGTTTCATACTTGCCCTGGTTTGTGTATTGAGCAGACCTTTGAATTTTCATTACTAAGACACAGACCTGCACCTAAGGGCAAAGAAACAGAAATGAGATTCTTATTTTCCTTCCCGTCTCTCTCATTTGCTTGCAGGATAACCTTGGTCCCTTCTGCTTCCTTATCTTTTTGGGAATCCTTGTTTTATCAGCAATTTTCATCTACCTGTACCTTCCTGAGACCAAGGGAAAGTCAATCATGGAAATAAAAGCAGAGTTCAACAAGCTGAATTTTGGAAAAAAAGAAATCTCAGTGACAGAAAATAACTTTCCTAAGGAACAGTTGTTCTGCACCAAACTCTGAATGTCCGGAGGAGAAATTTGCATCTCTTAGAAAAGACAGGAAACAATGTTGGAATAGAACTAAAAAAGAAACATTAAAAACAGACTCCGAGCACTTCTGTGTCTTCTCTTTGTTTTTTAAATACAGATATGAAATTCATTATGCTGGAGATTTATTTCTTGCTGATCTCTAAACATTTTAACGGGAAATTTTGTCACTCAGCTTTAAGATCTACTGGATGCAAATAGATTTTTTTTTTTTCCTAAATAAATATATCTTTTATCCTAGTGTAGTTTTTGAAGTCGTAAAACATTTTGTTAATGATCCAAAGGGCCCAATCCACCCCAAGACCATACGTAAAGGCTGCCTCTCGACTCTTGATCCACAGCCCTGGGTTCCAGCTGCTCTCCCTTGCTCCCAGGAGCCCTGTCTGACACCACAGATACCTGAACAAAGAGTTTGTTACTGAGCTTGCCTGAGAGAGACCTCACTAGTTCTGAGCACCTCAAAATCAGGATACTGCCAGCAAATAGTTCAGAGAAGGGTATTTAGAAGTATGTAAGACCAAGCAGAATAATTTAAAGAGGCAAATGGAGGGAAGGAAGAATTAACGTTCATCAGTCATGAGACAGGGATAAAACAGAAGTCTAAATTATCTGTCAGGCTGATAGAGGAAAAGCTAGGTGCATGGTTTGCTGTGACCCTAGGGAACACAAATTCAAAACTTAGCAGAGGAACTTAGGAAACAGGTTCCAGCTATGGATAAAGAAAAAGAAAAAAGAAAAAGAAAAAGAAAAAAGAAAAAAAAAAAAAGAAAAAAAAAGAAAAAAAAACATTGAAATTGTACTGTCGGACAGTCCTTCGGGAGATGGGGTCTCAGTGGAGAATGTCCTGGTAACTCCAGGCAGGGAGAAGGACCAGCTGAACAGTTACAGTTCTCGGTGTATGTACAAGAGGTGAAATGGTTCCTGTAAAATAAAGCACGCTCTCAAGAGCCCTTGTGGTGTCAAAGGATCTGGTTTCCGAGCTGGTACATCAGCTTCTGGGAATTACATCAGATGTTTTCAGAAAAGAAAGAGTTTGTTTTGGAAATGTTTTTCTTGTTACATAAGTAAGCTGCAAATAACTAGAGATTGTTGTACCAGTAGAAAAAACAGGTTGTGAAGTTCATTACAAATACAGTATAAGATTTTCCAGGTGACCACTAACAACAGTAGTGTGATTTATGACTGAGTGCTTTGGATCACACCACCTGCTTCCAACAAATCCCTGAAGAAGAGATTCATCAATACCGCAAGCAGCAGTTCCTCTCCTTGTGGATGGAGCTGCCATTTGAGTTCATTTTTATGCTTTGACACAGGATACATGCCCTGAAAAGTATTTTTGGATATTTTTTTTCAGGATTTTCATTATTTTCAGAGCATTTCTGATGCAGGAGAGCCAATCCATTAACATGAACAGTGGATGAATTAAAGGCTTCTTTGTGACAACTTTGTCACAGTTCAGGGGAGGTCTCCATGACATTTTCTGTTATGGTCTATGCCACAGAGAGTCCCCAGACTCGCAGTTGAGGTGTCCATCTACATCTACATGCTGCAGAAACTTTACCTGGACTGCCTGCAACAGCAGCCAGCAGCACAGGCGGCCCCTTCTCTGCCAAGGGACTCCTGCTCCCCCCGGAGCAGCAGGGCACGTCACTGCTGGCTATTTAAGGGCTCCTGGCACGCTTTCCTTCTCAGTGAGGTAAGCAATCTAGCAGGTGTGTTGGGAACAAAGCCGTGCTGTGAACGAGGCGAGCTGAAAGAAAACCCTCTTGCGACCCAAAGATGCCTAAATTCATTGTTAACACAAATATAAGCAAGGACAAAGTCCCCGAGTCTTTCACAGGAGAGCTCACCCAGCAGTTATCAAAGGCAATGGGAAAACCAGCTCAGGTAAGTCGGGATGCTCGCGGTTTCCATTTAGCCAAGTGTGCCTGTGCAACGGGCCATTTCTCAGGAAAGAGCTGCGCAGCCAGCCGGTCTCATTAAACATGTAGGAAAGCAATCTCCGCTGTATCTGGCTGAAGGGAGTTATTTCAGAAGCAGGTTTTAGGCTTGTATAAGCCTTATCTCCCCAGAAAACAGGTTAAACCAAAAATGGGAGTAGGATTATTTTTGTTTTCAACCCATGCGGGAAGATAATTGACTACTTCTGTGAGGCTGATGTGCTCTACCCCTCTTCAAATAAAATTTCATCAATCTAGCAAAAAAATGCTTCCTGTTTGGGGGAGCAGAGGTTGTCCTCTGCCAGTTCTTGCATAACAGCTCTGAATATAAAGCTAGAGGGCAGGGCTGGGATGCAGCTGGGACAGGCTTGTGCAGCCCTGTGGAAGGGGCATGTAACGTTACTTAGAAATACACAGGGAACAACAAAGTCTTTTTTTAGGACAGGCAAACTCTTCGTGACAAAGGAGGCAATAGAAAAGGGAGAGAGTCTTCTGGATATATCAGAGAGAAGGAAAGGATTAGGGTGGGCAGGAATGCAGAGCTTTCCTCTCGCAGGAAATGGTACCATCTGAAAAAAAAACACTGATTTTTTAATCAGTTGTGTGTTTTTTGTCTATTGGAAATAACATTTCAATAAACATTTTCAAACCATCTAAGGTGAAAATAAGGTGATTAATATCTCAGCTTGTTTTTTTTAACAGTAACCTGCTTCTGGGATAGGTGTTTAGAGGCATGTGCATACCTACAAGCGGCATGCAGCGAGCTTAGAGCACAGGGTGTCCAGCTGGGGAGAACGGGGCTGGAAAAGTGGTACCTCAGCAGGATCCCCTTGATTCATCCTGCGCTGCTGTGGCTGGATGCACCTTGCACCCAAACAAGCTGTAAATGGCAGCCAAGGCTAATTACCCAGACGCTTCCTGGTACTCAGGCTTGCTTTTTTTACGAGGGGGTTAATTGCTGCTGAATTCCAACGATGCGCTACTAATAAACGTGGGTAAGAACAGAAGCCAAATGGGTGCCAAAGGAACTGATCCCTGGATTCCCCAGTGTGTGGATGTGACACTACGCATTAGCAGCAGGGAGAACTGCAGGCTGCTCGTTAATGTTAACATGGATACTTTCTTCCAGTTTTCCTGCTATCAAGAACAAAAGCAGGATTAAGCTGTATTTTGTTTAACGAGGGGGGTGTTGGTCTAGACCTCAGCTGTGTCAGTTCACATTTACCTCAGCAGGGAAGACTGCAGCAGGAGCCAGTGAGGTGCAAAATCTCTCAGGAACGCGGGGCTGGAGCAATGCAGTTGCAAACCCCGGCAGCATTCACTCATCCCTGCATAGGCAGGGAGAGCCTGGTGGCTTGGAGCAGATTCTGGCTGTTTTGCATGTCACCGAGTGCTCAGCACCTGAACTTTCCACCCCAATCTCATGGGCAGCAAAGACAATGCTGCTACAGGGTCCTCCTCCCAACGCTGTACTTGGGCAGAGCGTCCAGAGCCCATCTTCCAGTATGGAACTGGGTGCTCTGGGGTCAAAGCCTGCAATTACCTACAGTGTTCACTGCAAGACTGCGGCATTTGTCAGGCACTGGGCACTGCTAGGATCCCCTCCTCCCTAGACGTGCCTCCTGCCCCATTCTGAATGCTACACAGCAGACTCTGGACCACCCACTGCTTCGGTTCTGCCTTTGTTTCTACAGGTCCTGGCTTCACTCCTGGCTGCAGGAGGAGCAGAGGTGGTGCCGGCTAGCCAGGGACAGTTGCTCAAGCTGAGGAAGGGGCTGTCCTGCACGTGAGGTGCAGTGTGTCCATCCGCCCCCCACCCCAATTATCTTTACCTGAAATCATTAGGAACTGAGACTCCCAAGCCCAGCTGTCATGATGCCTTGTTCTGGCCCTTAACACAGCAGGGAATATCTCAGAAGAATGCAAACTTGTACAGTTGGGTACCAACACACAAAAGCCTTGAGTGTAGCAAGCAAGGCTTGGAGGACAAAGTCTTCAAGGAGAAGACAGAAGGCAGGGAAAGATTGGTGCTCCACTGTAACTTCACAAGTGCACTGAGTGAACCTATTTGCATTGTAGTAAGTGGTAAAAAAAATACCTGTAACTGCCAGTGACCATTCTTTTCAGTTTCATGTGTTGCTAGTAGTTTTAGCTAGGAAAGCAGCCATCAGTTCTATCCCCAAATGGTATATTATGGGAGTACTTTTTACCTTCTCATCTCTGTGACTTGCAGAAAAACATTCAGGAGATCTGAGAGTGCAATGAAGTACATACAAGAAAAATTCAAAAGCCTAAGTAATGGCATCTGGGATTTTGCGATTTTCAAAACTTTTCCTAACATGGCAAAGGAAGATAATACTCTTTTTTTTTCTTTTCTTATTTTTTTCCCCAACAGTATCTAGCAATACAGATCTCTCCTGATCAGGTGATGTCCTTCGGCGGCTCCACAGCCCCCTGTGCTATGTGCTTTCTTTACAGCATTGGGAAGATAGGAGAGCAGGAGAACAAGGTCTACTCCAAATTGCTCTGCGACCTGCTGAACAAACAGCTGAAAATACCATCTGACAGGTGAGCTCACACAGCAACTTGTCTGATGTGACTATGCACAGATTGTCAAAGCTCTTAATCCCAAACCTGTCCTCTGGTGTTTTCCTGTTAACATATTCCTTGAAGATGCTAAATGCCAAGTCAATAGAGCAACTCTTCAATTAGAAAGAGGAAAGGAGCAATTGGATGAGCTGCAGAGCCCAAAAGCTGTAAAATCTTAGTTAAAATGATGGAGGTTCAGGTACAACGTGCACAAGCCCAGGTACAGATGCATTTGGTAGTTTGAGTAATATCTGCCAACACCTCCCCACTGTTTATGGGGTACAGGGGGAGGTCTCTTGTAAGAGCTTTGATTTAGATAGAAGCATTTCTAGTGCTTCTCCTGAACGTACACCAATCTGCCTCAGAACCGACTTTGTGTCACCTTACTTTAGATATAGCATCCTAAAACTGCCTTAAAACAAGAAGCAGAAAACCACTCCCAGCTCCAGGATGCAAGTGGACAAGGCATCTGGGGTTACAACACGTGAATTTACCTTCCAGAAACTGCAGGAGGCAACGTGCAACTTGCAGAGAGGTGGTGTGGCCCTGCTGATGTGCCTGAGCTCTGGGGCCAGGCAGCAGCAGGACCATGTCCCTGCTGCAGGAGCACCCTGGCCAGCTGCAGCGCTCTCCTCTCAGCAGCTAACAGCACCTCTCTTCTCTTTCAGGATTTATGTCAGCTTCTTTGAGATCAGTGCTGCCAACGTGGGCTGGAACAACACCACCTTTGCTTAAGTGCTCTGAGGTGGTGAGAGCTTATTCTGAACACTCACTGTGATTTTTGCACACTGCAGCTCTAGTTGTGTTATCTGTGTATGCCACGAGTGTAAAAGCCAGGGGTGCTGTCCTAACAGTCTTGTCTGCTGCCTCAATAAAAGTAGAAGAACAGAGGGAACCTTTACACCTGAGATTCTCCTTATTCTGGAAGGGCCTGTGGCTGAGATGGGAGGGTGCTTTCTTAAAATATTCCTAATAGACGCTTGTCTTTAAAACACTTCCTCCCTTTGAAGATGAACACTCCATTCGGGTTCATTCTGGACAGTCTGAACAAACTTAATCAAGTCAAGATAGTTCTGTTTTCAAAATACGCGTAAATGTACGTCAGGATGTGGCTATTGATGTGGTGCATGGACCTCACTTCAAAAGGAGGAATGCAGGGTTGTGTTTTATTGAAAAGGGCTGAGTTGCAGTCCAGGTCCTCCTTAGATCCTACACTAGGCAGACATCTAGCTGCTTAGCAGAGACGCTCATGCTGCAGGAGCCTCCCAGGGTTCACAGCAGACAGAGGGAGTAAGTGGAAAAAACCCACTGTCCTGCTGTCCTGCCCTCCCCTTTCATCCCTTGAGCAATCTGCAATGACAATGAAGATTAGAGCACGGCTCAAAATGAGGGAGACACAGGGAGCTATTCCCAGATGTCGAAGTGGTGAATTATGAAAGGAAGACTTCCACTTAAATGCTTATCATTCAAGCCCTGGGTCAGATAATATAATTTGCTTCCAAAGGAAAATAGAAAGATTGAATGCAGAACTATTTCCTGGAGCTCTGAGATCAGGTGTCCTATTTTTTTTTAAGAAAAAAATAAATTATTTTTTTTGGGGGGGGGAAGAATAGCCCCCATCTCAGCTTGTTCATCCCTACTTAAAGCCTTACAGAGTTGCTCACTGAGGAAGGAAGGCATGGCACGAGGTAGGTGTTCTTTCAGCAGAATTGCTCATAGACAATGGCTACAGGGCCCCTCAACACAGCAGGACCTTGGCTGAGGAGGCCGTTCCCTTCTCCAGAAATCAGTCTGCCTTCCTCACACAGCCAGCAGCTCAAAGAGCTGCCTCCTCTGTCTGCCCTTGGAGGCACTGCACCAGCATCTTCTGATGTTCTCCTGCCTCCTTCTCCCTGGCCCAATGGCTCTGTGCTCTGGCTCTGACTGCAGTGAAGCCAAGCATGTCCAACCACAAGCCAGCAAATGCCCCAGCCCTGCTATTTGCAGTCAGGCTCCAGGGAAGACCCCAGGCTCCAGCCAACCCCCATCTCTGCTGAAGCCTTCCTGTGCTAGATGCTTTCCGAGTTATTCTCAGAGCATCCAAACACTGACCTACACGTTCCTAAGGTAACTCTGAGACCAAGTACAGCCAAGCCCACCTCTACTTGTTAACAACCACGCTTTATGCTCACTAATAGGGAATATGAAAGCTTTTTTTTTTTTTTTTGGCTCTACTTCATCATTAGAATGCTGTTAGATGTATTTCTGTAAAACATTTTACCTTTCAGCTTCTATCTGTTTCAAACACACTTCATTGTTCTTATTTTAATCACAAGCAGTTGTTTTAAAGCAGATTCATCCAAAAACATGATTACAAGCACGTCGAGTAATCACTCGAGGGAAAGGTGCACAGATGTGTGCTAGCACTTATCTAATTTTTAAAAATGCATCTTTACAAGCCATGAAAATATACGCTCTGCTACTTCCTCAGTCAAGGGAACACAAGAAGGAAATTGCAGGTGTCTCTCCATGGTGTGAGCAGCATGGCCAGGGCCTGGTGCTTTGGGCCTGGCGGGCCGCAGAGCATCACCCCCGTGGTCCTGTTGCTCTCCCAAGTCTTTTAGCCAGGGAACTCCCACCCCACGCCTGTGCAACAACTCTGGGAGGGAGAAAGGTGGGAGGAATAAGTGGCACTGTGCAGAGGGAAACATCTTCAGGTCTCAATAGAGCTGTTAATCACTAAAACGAAAGTAAGCACTTCAAGTCCTGCCAGTTCTGTGGGACAGCCTGTGCCTCTTCAGATCACCTGCTCTGTGTTCAGGGCTATGTGTGTTCACATGTGCAATGCAGATGTACCAACGAGCATTCTAGCAGCGGCAGTACCGGGACTTTGTTAAAAATTAACGTGCTCGATTCCTGTCTGGAAAATGTCTGCACACAGAGGGCTCTGGGCCTGATTCTCTTCTGCCTTCCCGTGAGTCATTTCAAGCAGCGCCGAGCTGCAGCGGGAAGCAGGGCGGCGAGTTGTGCCCTCCGCAGCCTACGTGCACCACATCACATAGCCAGCAGAAGGCCCATCTCTCAAGATGCCTTTCCCCAAGGAACGGGCTCACACCGTTCCCCTTCTAAGCAAAGGAATGAGAAAGAAAGGAAGAAAAGAAAATCTTTTCTTTTTTTTTTTTTTTCTATAAATCTGGCATGAAAATGAGGATGCTAAGACCACTTGCGATCTGAGTGAAGCACAGCAGAGAATAATTAACGAGCCCACCAGCCAGACGCATTTTCACTCACATTGTGTAACAGCTATGCACACGGTTAAAACGAAAAAAAAAGCACAAATATGCCTTGATTTTGCAAAAGGACACAACCCCCTTCCCATCCAGGGCCAATATCCCCATTTTATAACCGCCAGGAGAGGCGGCCCTTTTAGTTTATTTTTTAGGGGGGGCGTTGTGGCGGGTCCCTGCAGTGGGGGGGGGTGTAGGGGGTGTGTGTAGGGGGCTGTGGGGGATTCCAGCCCCCCCCCCCCCCCCCAAGCGGTGCGGCCCCTTTAAGGCCGGCTCGGCTCGGCCCCGCTCGCCCTAAAAGCGCCGCCGCCGCCGCCCCCTCGCCCCACTGCGCCGCCGCCGCTGCAGGTCCCGGTCCGTCCTGTTCCCGTTCCTCTGCTCTCCGCCACCGCCACCAACCCTACCGGCACCATGCCGATGTTCGCCATCCAGACCAACGTCTGCAAGGACGCCGTGCCCGACAGCCTGCTGGGCGAGCTCACCCAGCAGCTGGCCAAGGCCACCGGCAAACCCGCGCAGGTCGGGGAGGGCGGCGGGGGGACGGGGACGGGGAAGCGGGGTCACCCCGGGATGGGGCCGGGCAGGGATCGGGGGGGACGTGGGGCTGGGGAGGTGCCGGGGCAGCGGGTGGCTGGGTGCACATGGCCGCTTCTTCCTCCTCCTCCTCATCCTCCCCACGCCGCCTGTAGGGGCGGCCCGGACGGGCAGAGCCGTGGGTTGCGGTGATTTGGGGTGTGTGTGTGTGATTTGGGGTGTGTGTGTGATTTTGGGGTGTGATTCCTGGCACGGGAACGTAGCCTTTGGCCCTTATCGCCGACCGCGTGCCCCACGCCCGCAGCAGAGGCAGGGGGAAGCGGCTGCCTCGCCTGCGGCTTTGCCCAAACTCAGCCTTCGGATCTGGAGCCCAGAGACAGCATCCGGGGGGATCCCAGCATCTGGGAAGATCCTAGCAGCCTCTAGTGGTCCAAGGCCCCGTAAGGAGGCTGGGAGTTGTTATTGGCCTCCAGAATGGCACACAGCTAGCTGCACGATGCTTAATGCTGAGTTTGGTACCGCAACAAGTCTCTATGAGGAGAGGGAATTAATTGACTTACTCCTTAACTGTTTGTTCTCCCATCACAGTACATCGCTGTGCACATCATACCTGACCAGATGATGTCCTTCGGGGGCTCCACGGATCCCTGCGCTCTCTGCAGCCTCTACAGCATTGGCAAAATAGGAGGGCAGCAGAACAAGACCTACACCAAGCTCTTGTGCGATCTGATCTCTAAGCACTTGCACGTATCTGCAGACAGGTAAGGCTGGGGTGTGATGCTGACCTTGTTCCTCTGGTGCTCTGAAACTGCTTTGAAAACTTCATTTGAAAGCATAAAAAGCCAGTAATAAGTCCATGTGTTTGAAAGAATACAAAGTGAGCACTTGCAACATTCTTGCATCCATGTAAGAGTTTGCCTACAAACTTTCCCTTGAGGCCTTGACTGTCAAATGGCTTCCTGCCTCAGAATAGGGAAGAATACCAGGGTATTAACAGGTTGCAGAGTCTTTTGCCTCTGAGGTATGATGTCTTCTTATAGTTGGAGGCTGGAAGCTCAAGGGACTAGGAGTTACAGGCTGGAGCTGAAAGACGGGGTAGGAATGAACTACCTGGCTGTGAACAGCTCCCTCACGGGCTGGCAGGACTCTGGGGAATATCCGCAGGGAGCGGTGAAGGCCAGGAGGAACCTGCTGCCCTCTGCATCCCAGAGCTGGAGGGAAGAGCCAAAACATCTCTGGAGTCTGAACAGCCCCTGACTGAAGAAGAGTTTAAAAAAAATTTAAAAGATTAAGTACAGTCCCGGGCCTCCAAGGAATATTTGCTGTTATGGGTTCTGTCAGACAAGTTAACTAGATTTTGGTAGAAACAAAACTCCATTTTTTTCTTTCTGGGGAACAGGAAGCACTCTCCAATATCCTGTTGCCTTCTCTCTCTCATCACTTACATAAATGTCACTGTATTCCTGTGCCTCTTCTGCAGGGTGTACATCAACTACTTTGACATGAATGCTGCCAATGTGGGCTGGAACGGTTCCACCTTCGCGTAGAGCTCCCCCCGTACGAAAAAGCTGCTCCTGGACCTACCCTCACGCTGCCCATAGACACCACGGCACAAGGGGCCCTGGGCTGCTTTTTTCGCCCTCACGGAGCGATGGCTCCTTGCTCGTGTGTTTGGATACCGCTGCTTCGACATTCCTCTGTTTTTTCCGTGTAGGAAACGAATAAAGATTTAGAAATAAAACAGTCTGGTGTGAGCTGTGGCGGTTTGGGAGGGCGGTGGGGTGAGGTATGTGTGGGGGCTGAGAGCTGTGAGGAATAAATGCTTGAGGGTCGGTGCTGCTTGTGTGTGGCAGCGCTCCGCGATGATTTCTACCTTGCTGGGCGCTGGGGGCGCCTTCAGGACGCCTCGTCGCCTTCTCCGTGTCACCGCCGGCGCCGCAGCGAGGCCGGGGCCGCCTCCTCGCCTCAGGGCAGCGCCGCCTCGCGCCTCTTCTGGAGCCTTCTGCCGCTGCGCGGGCCCCGTGGCGCCATCTTGTGGCGGCCCCCGGCGCCCTGACGCCATCTTGTGGCGCTGCGAGCCGCCGCCATGGCGCTGTTCGCCATCACCAGGTGCCCGGGGCCGGCGGGAGGCTGAGAGCCGGGCTCTGGCGGGCGGGGGCCGGGCCTGACGCGTTCGTTCTCGGCTGTTTCAGGTACGCCGCGGAGGAAGAGGAGGAGGCCGGGGCCGAGGCGCAGGAGCGGGCCCGGGTCCTGCTGGAGCGGCTGCGCGAGCAGGCGAGGGCCCGGCAGCTGAGGCGGCAGAGGGACGAGAGGCCCCGGGGAGCCGGCGGGGAGCCCGCGGCGGGCGGCGAGGCCCCGAGCCCGGGGAGCGAGCGGCGGGGAAGGCGGCGGGAGGCTGCGGAGCGGGCAGCAGGAGGCAGCGAGGAGGAGGAGGAGGAGGAGGATGGAGGAGCAGCGCCCGCCGAGGGACGTGGAGCAGGCGGTGGTGAGAGGGGCTGGGGGGGCCTGGCGCGATGGGACAGCGGTTCTCAGCCGAAAGATAGGTGTGAGGTGCCCTTTGAGTACCTCGCTGGGTTTATTTGAGAGGAAAGTTCTCTTTCTGAAGCCCTATGCTACAAGCTTTGGGGGTGAATTTAGTGTAAGGGCAATGTGTGTCAGCTTAGTGTTCCACTGTCTCTATACCACCACCACAATGTGTAGCTCTTGCACTTGGATTTAAGAGGAAGGATGAGCTTGCACATTGCTGACTACATTCTGTGGTGTAAAACGTGCCCTGTATCACGTTTTTGAAGCATGCTCTGACTTGCGGCTTTGTATTTCTGTTATCTAGATTCTGAAGAAGATGTTAAACAACAGGAAGACAGAAGAAATCTTAAAAATAAATCTAAAAGGAAGAAGAGAAATGATGAAACTGAGAGAGCTGAAAGCAAGAAAGCACGCAGTGAAGGAGCTGAAGGAAACCAAAGCACAAAGGACGAGCTGCCTGGAGCAACCTCGGGGGAAGAAGCAACTCCGCCACCTTCCAGCTTGGTGGTTCTTGGAGACTACGACAGAAAGCCCGTGCAGAAGGTAACTAGCTTGACTGAATTTTGATGATGGTTGGGTATAAACAGGCATCTTACCAGCTTATTTTAATGTATGGTATTGCTCATTTGATGGCAGAAACACTTTGTGACTCTTTTTCCCCCACTTCAGGTTCAACCCTTTTTACCACAGTGGCTTGCTCAACCTAAATTACTGCAAAAACGTATCAAAGAGAACCTGATTCCAGTGGGGGATGTCCCAGGAATTCATCCAAAGCTATTGAAAAAGCTGCAAATGAATGGGATAGAGTCCTTTTTTCCAGGTACCTTGATAGTGCTCTTTCTTCCTTTCTGAATTCACTTCCGTATTTCCTGAATCTGTTGCTGTATGTTTCATGTGGTCAATGAAATAAAATATAGAACAAAAGCAAACCTAATGCACTGAAATAGTTTTAACACTTTACTTTCAAAGACTTAGGTAGGCTGAGTAATTAAATTTGGTATATCTAGTCATAAATACAGTGTCAAAAAAGATGTCTTTTGAAGTAACAGCTCACAGCACACAAAGGAGACTGATCTTGCCTGTATCCTCACATTTTTCTCCCTTAGTTCCATGCATGTGCTTTATTTCCTTGCCTTCCACCATCTTTGGTATTAACTGGACCAATCTGGGAACCTGTTCAGCTCATTAAAAGGAATTAAAGGGAGCAGCAAACTTGAATGACTTCAAAGCCTACAGGAGGTGTTCATTTTTCTCCTTGGCAGATGTTGCTTCGTTGCTCTGTTGCATAGTATGTGTTTTTATAGGTGTATTTTGTACTTCAAATAAAGGATGCTCACAGACAAGCATTCATGGGTTTTAAATCTGCCCAATGTCACCCTAACACGAAGACAAGACATGTATCGAGTTGAAAACAATATTTAACACAGTAATATCTATGCTGAGTGCTAGAAATAGCTGAATTCTTGGAACGGGAAATCTCCGTGTTCAGTGCTAAGCTCATGAATGAAAAAGAATCAGGGAAAAAACATAGCATTTCTACTAGGATGTTTTTTATTCTTCCTCTCTTATGTCTGTAGCAGCAACAGCACAGATAGGGAAATAGATCCATTGTATAAAACACTGCTTTCCTAGATGAGTCTTAGTCCCATTCATTAACTCTGTAGGTAATGTGTATTCCCATTTTTGTTCAGTTCAGGCAGAGGTGATTCCTGCTGTTCTGCAAAGTGCGTCCAACGGGTATTTGATGGGGCAGGGAGGATACCGCCCCAAAGACATCTGTGTCTCGGCACCTACTGGCAGTGGTAAAACCCTGTCCTTTGTCATACCAATAGTACAGGTGAGTTTACCCCCAGCAAAACATAGGGCAAATGTTTTGCATGAACAAAATCAACCCCGTCCTGAACTTAGAAGTGGGTTAGAAAGCCAAGGAATTTGTGGATGCAAATAGATACTTTGCTCAGAGCTGTCTGAAGGAGCTGTAGGAGGAGTATTCTTCACCACAGCATCCTACTCCTTTTTGCAGACAACAGGCGTAGTATGAGGAGTTGGGAGTATGGAGGGGAGTAAAATGGAAACATAGAACTCTGGAAGGTGTCACGCCCATCTCTTCTCACTAGCTTAGATACAAGAAGCTCCTTTTCACCCCATGGCTTTCAGGGACTTATTTGGCCTCTGTTTTGGCAGGTTCTGCTAGATCGAGTAGTTTGCCAAGTACGAGCTCTGGTTGTTCTGCCCACCAAGGAACTGGCACAACAGGTATATAACTTAGCTCTTCAGCTTTTCACTGAGAATTGGGCTGAGGGAAGGGCTGGTGCAGGGAATATTTTGTCTGGCTGTTCAGGGATGCAGTTTGAACACACTGTCAGTGGGTTTGATGTTATTAATGGAAAGTATTACTTTCACTGATTTTGTTGTGGCTAACAAAGCACATCTCTTTGCAGGTGAGTAAAGTGTTCAACATTTACACTGATGGGACAGGTCTGAAGGTCGTTTCAATTACTGGCCAGAAATCTTTTGCAAAGGAACAGGAGATGCTTGTCCAGAAAAAGTAGGTTAAATGCTCTTTTGATAAGGTTTGTGGGGATTGTAAGCTATTTAATCTTGGTGAGCAGAGGTCAAAATGGTGCTTATTGCATCACACCATCATGCAGTAATGATTTTTGATAGTAGGTTCATGTGGTAGACGCATGAACCTACATGTTTTTGACAAAGTGCCTGCTACTACCCCTCTTTGTGGTTGTTGTGTTTTTAGATTTTTGGGGCTGTTTACCAGCTGAGTAGAATGCAAACGTTTACCTTGGGCCCACAGGTACAAAAGACTGTTAGGGGGTTTGCTGCAGTTATTAAGCTTTTTCTTCAGGGCAATGAATAATGTCACTTTCTGTTTAAACAGGTAGTACAATGGAGAATAGTGCTTAGTGTCCAGCATTGTCTTTGTGTGCTGGTAAACTGTGTGTTTGAATTTTGTTATTTCTCAGTTAAATTAAAAGAATAATGGGAAAATCTTAAGGTCTTTTGACCAAGGATCTCTTTTATTTGCCTTACAGTGTAGGGAGAAACTTAGTGATGAGCTGCTTGTTCTTTCAGAGTGACAGGCTATTGCAGCCTTGCTGATATCATTGTGGCTACGCCGGGGCGGCTTGCAGACCACATTAGCAAGACCCCGGGGTTCAACCTGACACAGCTTCGCTTCCTGGTGAGTCAGCTCCACAGGTGTCCAACCTTAGCGCGAGGTCCGTTGGATCTTCCTGCTTTGTTCTTTCATGGTCCATAAATACGTCTCTGTTGGAACTGTTTTGTGGACTTGGTCCTTGCTTCATATTGCTCAGGCAGCTGTATCACGATGAGAAGTTTTATTCCAACTTGTGACACCCAGGCATCCACACACTTCCCCTTCTGTCTTACCTTCGTGCAGACACAAATTTGGAGTGAAGCCCTATCAGTCAAAAAACAGGGTAAATTACAAACTGTATGAGCTTCCACTGTATTGGAGTCTATGCAGAGACAGAGCTGCCATCCTATTTTGGTTAAAGGTGATTTTTATCTTTTATGCAAAGGCATCAATTGTATTTAAATGCAAATGAATTTGTGTAGTTTGAGTGTCGGTTTGGCTACGGAGCAACTGAAACAAAAGGAAAAGTTTGGAGGTAGAAATTTCTGCCTTCAGTTGAGGAACAACAGGCAAGGAAAGAAATTATGTGGAGTAGAAGCTTCTATACATCTTGCATTCTTGCTCACTGTTACAGTTACAAAAGAGAAATACAAGCCGCCTAAGCACAAGACACTATTAAACAAGCAATGTTTTTTGTCTTTGTGAATTCAGATCATAGATGAAGCTGACCGTATGATTGATGATATGCACCAGAATTGGCTGAACCAAGTTGTCAAAGCTGCTTTCCAAGCAGAAAATGACTCTGGCTCCAGTATGCTTTTCCAGAGGACCAAACCAGGGCCTGTAACAGCAGCAAGGTAAGTTGCAAAATGCTTTTCTTTGAACCGTTTGCGTGGATGCCAGCACTCAGATGCCTGTTTCATAGCACACTCACAGGCACTCCCAAAGCTTACTTATTCAGAGAAATGTCTGCCAAATTAAGGCAGCTACTTCTTTAGAGCTCTAAAAAGCAGGCAGTAAACAGCTGGTATTAAAGGATGCCTTTTAGACTGAAATCTCTATACTGTATTCTTCGAGCTTTTCTGAACTAGACTAAAGCAACA